ACACACACACACACACATACATATACACACACACACACAAATGTATACACAAGATTTTATGTAGTTATACTTTTTAATAAGTATATACTGCAAAAGGTAACATGAAGACACTATGATTACTGATATTATTTATATAATTTCTGGAAAGTGTATTGTCAATTAACTAACTTAAACAACAGTTAAGTACTGGGAAACCTTTTGTCCTGCAAGGACAAAGTTTACTTTTTAAGTAAACAGTCACTTGCTAATTCCTAGGTGCTGTGACTCTTTGGCATTTGAGAATCAATTATCTTGTTTTCTTTAGTGAAGGGGAAGTACCATGTCAGATCTCTCATGATTTTTATTAACCACAAAGTATATACCCAGATTATATTTCAAATAATTTGTTATTTTTTTATGTAGTTCATTGAGTAGTGAAAAATGTTGAACTCCAGGCTTCTCCAGATACTGTTTGGTGTGCAGCAGAGGTAGTTAAAATGACTTTCTTTATACTACAAATTCTATTAACCACTCACTCCAATGCTGTGAATATTCTGAGAGGCCATTTTCTGCTTCTAAGACTTAAAGCATTTTTGTTCTTATAAATGTGGGTCCAGATATCTTCCTTTTATAGGCTTTAGATAAGTGTTAAAGTTGTTTCAATAATAGATTGGAAGTGCTCTCAGTGAAGGGCTGTTTTAGCTAAACTTTGATCTCCTGTGGTCCTAATACAGCATTCTAGATGAAGTAAGCGTTTAATAAATGTTTGTCGAAATTAATTAACTATCTTAATCTAACTTAAGGTCTTGATTAATACTGCCATCTAGTGCTGTCTTGGGCAAAATGCTTAATATTAAATATATTGTGAGTCAGTCCCCCTTCATAGTAGCAAAAAACTAAATTCTGGATATTTGTAAGCATACCAATTAGGTATCCTATTTGGATTTTGTTAGGAAACCTGGGTATTTGATGAATTGTTTTTTATAATAATTTGTGACTGACTTTCTTATAGTGTTGCTATTTTAGTAGTTAAGCCTGAAATAAAGAGCATGTAATTAAAAAAAAAAAAAGGGCAGCTGGGTGGCCCAGTGTATAGAGTGCCAAGCCTGGAGTCAGGATGAGTTCAAATGTGGCCTTAGACACCAGCTCTGTGACCCTGGGCAAGTCATTTAACCCTGTTTGTCTCAGCTTCCTCATCTTAAAAGGAGATGGAGAAGGAAATGTCAAACCACCCCAGTATCTTTGCCAAGAAAACCCTGAATGGATCATGAAGAGTCAGACTCGACTGAAAAAATGACAACAGTAAAAAATGAAAAATTTAATTTCGAATTTCATTCAATATTATTTGTTTCCTTCCCTACAAGTGAGATATAAGGATGATCTTTTATTTTTAATTAAACCTCAGTGAACAAATGTCAGTTTTTCCTCCTTCTTCTTTCTCCCATTAGGAAAAAAAAAGATAAAACCCCTGTGACAAATATGCAATGTTTAGCAAAACAGTTTCCTGTTTTGTCCACATCCTAACATACACACACAACATATACACGAATTCTGTCCTCTGAGTACATCACTTCTCAGATAGGAGATAGATAGCATACTTCATTGATGGTCTGGAATTGTGGTTGGCTAGTGTGTTAGAGTTCCTAAATCTTTTAGAGTTATTTGTTTTTGCTGTATCAGTTCATACAAGTCTTCCCAGGTTTCACTGAAACTGTCCCTTTCATTATTTCTTATGGCATGAGTATAATTTATATTCAGATGCTTCCCATTTGATCAATACCCCCTCAGCTGAGAATGATCCTGGTTGCTGCAGCAGTCAACTTCTTCACTTTCTTTAAAGTCCATATAAGTCTTGTGAATTTTAGTATTTGCTTACTAGAATCCCTTAATTCCTCTGAATTTGTTTGTGTTGTATGCCCTTTGTCACATAACATTTATTAAGCACCCACTACGTGCCAGGCACTGTATGAAGCTCTGAGGATACAAAAAGAGGCAGAAGACAATCTCTGTCCTCAAGGAACTCAAAGTCTAAGGTGGGGGATAGGGAACAAAACACAAAAGGAAAGATAAGAAGTGTGTGTGGTGGGGAGATGGGAGATGTCAGTCAGAAAAGTCCCAAGGTAGTGCAGCCAAATGAGAAATGAGATGTCGGAGCTAAGCTCTTCCCTTTAGTGGAGGTTTGTGGAATTCATGGCACCTCTCTCCTATCAAAGAGGCAGCGAGTTGTGATGAAATGGAGTGTCAAGGCCAATGAGAGCCTACAGGATGATGAGATTATCCCAATAGTGAGCTTCTTTGGGAATAATGGGGAGGTCAGTCAAACAAGTCTGGGGGGGGGGATGGTGCTAGAGGAAAAGACTTGTTCATTATTGAGGAAATAATTTCTATAAGGTGAAAATTTCTTAACTTAAAAATGATTCTGAAATAATGTGTTTAATAACAAACAGTTTAGGTTAATTGAAAGGAATGCAACATAAAATATTTCATACTGTATAGCAAAAAACCTGTAGTACATGAGTAAAGTAGGGGGGAAAAAGCATCCTCCTGGTTTTGAGAAGATGTAGTTTCAAGATCTGGCTCTGTCACTATGACAAGTCCCTTTACCTTTATGGACCTTTACTTGTATAGTTGTACAGTTGGTGATTTGAAGTAATGGCCTTCCTACCTCTTTCTACCTCCAATTCCATTGGATTTGGAGTTAAAAGATTTGAGTAGTCATGAGAGTTTTCTTCAAGTATTTAGTGGATTGTCACTTTTATTCTATATTTTCACTAAATGTTCCCTTAATATGCATTCTGGAATTTACTTAAATTGAAATCAATTTGATTGATTCTCAGGCCTTTAGTTTGTGAACTCTAGTAGTCTTTTCCTCTTTAGGAGAAAATCAGGAGATTAGTCCTTCTCCAGTTTTGTGGTTTTATCCCCATTCTTCAGTCTCATTGTCAGTGGCTTAACAATTCCATTTCCCAGTGCTCTCTGTATCCAAGGATATAATTCATCTAAGCCAGATGACTTGATTTAAATATTTATTTTTAGTTTTCAACATTCACTTCCACAGGATTTTGAATTCCAAACTTTCTCCCCATCTCGTTCTTCTCTCTACCCTAAGACGACATGCATTTTGAATACCCCTGCCCCTAAACTGACCTCCCTTCTATCACTGCCCCCTTCTCTTATCCCTTTTCCCTTCTGTTTTCTGGTTGGGCAGGGTAGATTTCTATACCCCATTGCCTGTATATCTTATTTCCCAGTTGCATGTAAAACAATTTTTAACATTTGTTTTTAAAACTTGGAGTTCTAAATTCTCTCCCTCCCTCCCCACTCACCTTCATTGAGAAGGCAAGCAACTTGATACAGGTTATACATGTGTAGTCATCCTAAACACTTCCATAGTAGTCATGCTGTGGAAAACTAACTGTATTTCTCTTTAAGCTCTCCCACTCCCCTTTTATTCTATTCTCTCTTTTGACTTTGTCCCTCCTCAGAAGTGTTTGCTTCTGATTACCCCCTCTCTCAATCTCCCCTCTCCCTTCTGTCATCTCCCTTCTCTTATCCCTTTCCCCTTTATTTTCCTGTCGGGTAAGATAGATTTCCATACCCAATTGAGTGTGTATGTTATTCTCTCCTTAAGCCAAATCCAATGAGAATAAGATTCACTCATTCCCTCCCACCTTTCTCTACTTTCCCTCCACTATAAAAGCTTCTTCTTGTCTGTTTTATGTGAGATAATTTACCCCATTCTACCTCTCCCTTTCTCCTCCCAGTATAAGCCTCTCTCACCCCTTAATTTTATTTTTAGATATTACCCCTTCATCTTCAACTCACCCTGTGCTGTCTATCTATCTGTCTATCCATCTATCTACAGATATTTTTCCCTCCAACTACCCTAATACTGACAAAAGTCTCATGAGTTACAAATATCATCTTTCCGCGTAGGAATGTAAACAGTTCAACTTTAATAAGTCCCTTATGATTTCTCTCTCCTGTTTACCTTTTCATGCTTCTCTTGAGTCTTGCATTTGAAAGTCAGATTTTCTATTCAGCTCTGGTCTTTTCATCAAGAATGCTTGACAGTCCTCTATTTCACTGAATGTCTACTTTTTCCCCTGAAGGATTATACTCAGTTTTGCTGGGTAGGTGATTCCTGGTTGTAATCCTATCTCCTTTGCCCTCTGGAATATCATATTCCAAGCCCTCTGGTCTCTTAATGTAGAAGCTGCTAAATCTTGTGTTATCTTGACTGTGTTTCCACAATACTTGGATTGTTTCTTTCTGGCAGCTTGTAATATTTTCTCCTTGACCTAGGAACTCTGGAATTTGGGTAAAATATTCCTAGGAGTTTTCCTTTGGGGATCTCTTTCAGGAGGTGATCAGTGGATTCTTTCCATTTTTATTTTACCTTCTGGTTTGAGAATATCAGGGCAGTTTTCCTTGATAATTTCTTGAAAGATGATGTCTAGGCTCTTTTTTTGATCATGGCTTTCAGGTAGTCCAGTAATTTTTAAATAATCTCTCCTGCATCTGTTACTAAGTAGAGCTTAAATTCTGGCAGGTTCTACTAAATCAGAAAGACTTTGTCTCATCTGATAAACCCAGTCACAAATTTGAGAGACTTAACAGATTGCCTTGCAGGGTGATGAATCTTTTGACAACAGCTATGTTTAAAGACCGCCTACTGAACAGGTCCCTGAAGGATTTAAATATTGAAGTTCTGCTTAAAATGTTTTGTCTTCTTCGTGTGCATTGACCAGAAGCCCATACCTCTGCTATAGTTCTTGTTCACAGTGAAACTGAAAATGTACCAACTTTACTTAGCCCTTCCTTGTAATTTTTGTCCAAAACAAAAAAATGCACCACAGACCAAAGAAACCAAAACTAACCCACCTAACAAAATCCTTCTCCTTTTTCTTTCGTCCTTCATTTTTATCCACAGAGTCCTTAAGTGCTTAAAGTAACACAGAAGTTTATATGTATGTGGGGTACATATCATCTATTTGTCTTTTCTCCTTTCTTTTTACTAGAGTCTATGTATGTTCACACCACCTGGAGTAAAGGAAGGAAAACCACGACTCATCCCAGCTGGGCCAATTACCCATGGTACAACAATATCTGCTTATGTAGCCAAATCAAGGAAAACAATGCTAGTAGAAGATATCCTTGGGGGTAAATTATTTTTAACTTGTAATGGCAAATTTTATGTTTGGTCGTTTTAAAATAAAGTATGACTTACTATTTTGATGTGAGCTCTCTTTTAGGTGTTTCTTCTGCCCTACCCTCTACCCACCCTGCATTAAGACCAGGTTCTACTCATTAAGGTAGTTACTCCCTGTTTGTTTGACCTTATATACAGGTATCTCACTTGGGAGCAGGCACCACATAATTTTTATAATAAGTGCTAGAATACTGATTTATAAATTTTGTATGTTTTCTACATTTCTTTAATTTGGATTTTATTATTTTTTCAGAGTTTTTGAAAAGGCACATATTTGACATAATTATCTATATGTAGATATTACCTGGTATCATTTAACTAATGACCCCAAGGAATGGGATATTCTGTAATAAGGAAAATTTCCTGTTAATTAAAGCTTTTTGTACATCAACAGTTCAAAAATATTGACCATTTTGATTGATATCTTTATAAATTATATTTTTTCTCTTAGACTTCTTAAACATAGAAAACTTATCATTTAACATTTTTTGAATGACTTAAGGTCATCATTGTATACATAGAATTAAAAACTTTTAAAGTTGCAAAGAGATTTTATATTCTTACCTCCACTTTACAGATAAAGAAACTGAGGCCCAGAGATAGTATGTATATTGCCCAAAGTCATACGACTATTTAGTGACAGAATTTGGACTAGAACCCATCCTTCTCGACTCCCAGTCAAGTGATCATTGCACACCCTCACTTGTATGTACAATAGACAATACTCTCAGAGTCACCAAAGATAGTCCCCTAAATGGCCCTGACTGGTTTTTTTTTTTTTTAGATTTTGTGTCTGCTTTTTATAATTTGGTTTTCAGAAGGATCTTTTCTTTTGTCACTGTTAGCAGTTCTCAGTCTGCTGTCTCCTAGAATCATGGCCCATTTATAGTTTGCTCCTTGTAATTTGCTATGGATTTAGAATCTAGATAACTGACCTTATTAGATATGTCTAAAGTAATAATGAAGAAGGGCCTCAAAGCATAGACATGTTCAGGTAAAGACTGAGTGGCATTTGTTTTGGCTGCTCTTGGGCCGTTTTTGTTTCCCATCTAATCTTTGGCTGTAAATTCTTACTCTTTTAGGCTGCCTGATGAGAACTGCCTTTGGATATGTGAGGTTTCACCAGACTATATAAAAGTACCGAATAATCGTCTGTAGTCTGTGTACAATTTTGACTTTACAAAATGGCATAGTGGGGAAAGCAGAGGCCTGAAACCATGGATTTAGTATTGGCTCTGTCCTTAACTGGTTATGTAACTCTGGGTAAATAATTCAATCTGCCTCTATCTCAGTTTCTTCTCCTGTAACAAGGAGAATGGAGCATATCATCTCCAAGGTACTTTTGAACACTAAATTTTAATCATTCTATAATTATTTTTTAAATTTAGTTATGATTTTCATAGAACAGTACTACTAACTACAGTAATATTTAATGATACCTTGCATTTGTATTATATCTTACATTAGTAATTTCCAAACTTTTTTTAGTAAGAGTGTCCTTTGTTGACATCAGTTTTTCCAGCCCTCCGTGGCAGTAGTAGCTGTATTCTTGCTGCTTAAGTTTTTTAGTGCTAAATAAAGATCAAAATGAAAATTCTTGTTGGATATATGGATTCAAATACTCTTTACAGTGAGTGTCCTTAGCTTAGAGGTTGGAAACCTTTACAGTTTATAGAGTATTCATATTTATTTCAGCTCATTGAATCATTCAGTGTATTTAGGTAACTGGCATTTTTGATTTTAAAACATGATCTACAAGTGCTGGTTTTGATGTTTGTGGTTTGGATAAAATTCAGATTATTTATTCATAATGACCCTTGCAAGTAGGATAAGCTGTTGAAAATGAATTTGATCTTAGCCATGGTCAACAGTCCAAAGTCCTAAAGAGGACAATTACCTCATATAAAAATAGCCGTTTTCATCTCTTGTGACAATTACTGACTGATTTGAATATTCACAACAATAAATAAATTCTCTAACCTCCCTTTAATATTTGATTTTAAATGTGTTCTATTATCCAAAAGAAAGGATAATAATTTCTGTGTAAGACTAATGTAGACATTATTTCATTTGAGATATTTTTGAAATGAGATGATGTAAAATAAGTATATCGCAACATTTGGAGCTAAAAGGAACCTTGGAAATCATCTAATTCAGCCTCCTAGTTTTTCATGTAAGGAAACCATTTTCTGTAGTTTCCAAGTCTATAAAATTAGTGACAGAATACAATATAGAAACCTGGGTCTCTTGACTCTCAATCTCTAGTACTCTTTTTACTGTCTCACTTGGTAAACTTAAATTTTATTTGAATATTACCTTATGATTAAATTCTTAACATTAAAAATTTTAAAAAATTGAGTTGACAGTGATTTGATAAACCCCAAAATAACATTTTTCTAAAGAGTAATTGTACAATCAATGTGTTAATTTAACTGCTGTGTCTCTTAATTATTTTTGTCCTATGACTAATGAAATGAAATACCAGAAGAGTTGAACCACATAAATATTGATATTTTCCACAAAAGTGAAATCAGAGATATAAAAAAGTAGGCACTAAATAGAAGGGGAGGTCCAGAGGTTCTCCTTGTAGAGACAGCTGAAGAAGTTGGCTTCAGTCCATCTCTGCCTAGAATTCAAGTTCCTTGAGGGAGGAGACTATGCTTACTTTCATTTATTTATTTATTTATTTATGTCTCTAGTGCTTAGCCCTCTACTGGTCACTTGGTAAACATCTAATAAATAATTTTTAATGCTTTTTAATTTTTCATTAATTCTTCCTATATATCCAAAAGCATTAAAAAACATTTCATGAAACTCTTGGCCCTCTTTCCTCACAGTGCTTATGATAAGTATAAATGAACAGATCAGTATAAAATCATTAGAGTTTTTGTACGCATATCCCTTGCAGAAAATAAAGATCTGGATAAATTATATGAAGAACTTGACAAGAGCCTCCAAATTGAGTCAATATATGCCATGATGATTGATGATTTCAGTGTCCAACTGAGGGTAGGGGAATTTGGTAAAAATTTGGAAACATTTTGGGGAAAAATAAGTGAGACCAAATGATTATGGACTACCCAAAAGCCTTATACCTGTACAGCATGAAGAATTTATTCAAAAAGAGAGTCAGAAGATATTGGTTATTTTGAACTCTAACTGGTTATAGATGTAGCATTTAATTTTGGAATTTGTTAGAACGAAAGTAAGAGTAGCTACCAAATTAATTGAAAGGATAAAGATGGGACTTCGTGGGACTGCAGCAGCTCTGATATGACCTATTTAAAATAATTATTTACTTCAAAAATGAAAAATGAATATATCTTTTAAGGGTTTAGCCAGTGCAAAAGAGTTACTACAGTGAGAAAACCAGAAGAACCTAAAAGTTATGCAAGCTTACAAAAAGCTTGATGTCCTTTCCAGGCAGTGAGAGAAGGCAATCAGTGACAGCATTTTGGAGCCCAGATCATTTACAGAACATTTTGGGGAAAGGTGATGGAAGATTCATTTATTCAACAAATATTAGCATTATTTTCCAAAAGCACTGTTTCAGAGGCTGTGCATATAAAGCAAAAAATAAACAATCCTTACACTCAAGCAGCTGGGACCTTCAAGAAAACCTTCCCACACGAGATGGTTAATAATTTTAAGAAGCAGAGTTCAAAAAGTGTTTCAGGGATGGCAATAGACTGTGAAAATGCACAGAGATCAATATACAACGTCACATTCTTGGACAGCTGACACCCCACTTTTGACAGGGATATGGTATATAAGAAGGCAGAATGTGAAATAAGGCTGGAAATTTTGGTTGGAGTCTTATTAGAGGAGTTTCTGTTCTATCATAGACAAAATGGGAAGGTACTAAAAATTTTGGGGCAAGAAAGTGGAATAGTCATATCTGTTCCTCAAGAAGACTATTTAAAAAATAGTTTTGTGAATTATGGGTCGGAGACAGATGAGACTGAAATCAGGAATGCTCATCAGGAGACTGTTGCTATAGCCAAGGTGAGAGAGAAGATGAAGGTGTTAATGTGACTGTGGTCTTATAAGTGGAGGAAAAAGAATGATGTAAACGATGTTTTTACAAGAAAGTTAAGATAATTTGATGTGGGGGAGGAGAAAGGGAAGAGTCTAGGATAAGTTTTTGAATATATTAACCAGTATTTCTAGAGCTCTTTGGAGAGTTTAGAGATACATTTGTTAGTTGTATGAGTAGAGGTGATAGCTGAAGATAGGCAAGTAAATAATGTAGAAACTACAGAGAGAGACAGGAAGTAGAGGACAAAATCTTGGAGGATACCAACTTTTTGGGTATGGGAAACATAAGATGAATCAACAGAGTACACTCAAATATATGTCAAGGAAAGTGATCCTTAAGTTGAAATTACAAGCTCATAAAACAGAAGAGAATAGTTGAGAAAATAGGCCTGCTTAGTTAGAAAATAAGAGCTTAGTTTGAGGTCCTGCTTAATATAGGTCATCCTCAGAGCATTTGCAGATGAAAATGAAAGGAGGATAAATAATAGATGCACAAGAGACTGGGTTTTCACACATATGTTTGGTGATACAGTCTTGTACCACCTTTGAACTCTCTCCCCTCAGTATACAAAGTACTATGTGAAAGAAGTGAAAGTGGCGCATGAGATAAAGTCTATATACCAAAAAAGTTCATGTTAGTCACATTGTTTTAAGGTACCCTAGATTTGATTTTCAATATATGCCAAAGAGAAGAGGATTCCTTAAGAATGGAAAAGTTCAGAGATGACTTTAAAAAAAAGTCAGAGACTGAGAAAACATCAACAATTATGCCCTGGTATGCCTACTTTTTGAAATGTATAATGCAGTCAGACATGCATAGGTATTAACAAGCATTGATTTCAGTGGTCTGTTCAGTGATACCTTATGACTGAATAATAGAACTATCTCTTCCTAAGATTCAGAATTGCAAAGGGAAAAAAAAGAGCAAAGGAAAGACAACAAGGTGGATGTAAACACATGATGACTTACATATGAGAAGCGTGATAAGAGATTACATTTAATGGAAACAATTGCTCAGCCTACTTTCTGTGGAGTACTATGACAAAGGCATGAACTCAAGAACACACAAAATATGAAGATGGGTGTGTGCAGGGGGTTATTGGTCATTGGGAAAGATTTGTAACTTGCACTATCGGAAGGGTAACAGAATCAAGCAATCATATCGGAATTGGAAGCAACCTTGGCAACTGTCATCTAACCCACAAAAAAAAAAAATTCTGGCCTACAATGTCCCTGACAAATGTTTACTCAACCTTTGCTTTAAAAAATTTTTAAGGAAGGGGAGCCTGCTGCCTCCTGACAGTCCATTTCATTTTTGGGTAGTCCTATTAGTTAAAGGAAGTTGTTGTTGCATGGATTAGATAAACTGAACTAGATGGCCTTTTAGGTCCCTTCCAGTACTGAGGTTCTGTGATTCTGTGTCTTGCCGGAATGTTAACCTAGCAAGTAAGTGCTTAATAATGAATAGTATTGATGATTAGTATTTTTCTCTGGATAGAATACGCTATAGCTTATTGGTTTTATTGGCTAAAACTGATTAGAGGGGGTTTTTTTTCTCTTGTTTTTCCCGTTCCCTTCTTTTTTTTCTTATTAGGACGAACGATTTCCCAAAGGTATTGGACTGGAATTGGGGACACGTGTCCAGTCTGTTCTTTGTTTACCAATTGTCACCGCGATTGGTGACCTCATTGGTATCCTTGAACTATATCGGAACTGGGGCAAAGAAGCTTTCCATATCTGTCACCAAGAGGTGAGAACTCAACATTAGTTTGTTTTTGAGTTTATAATTTGTCACATTTCAGTCAGGTTTAAAATGCCTGGTTGGATTATGTGTGTTTGCAAAAACAAACAATTTTGTTGATTGTTAAAGTGGGAGGAAGGCCTTTTATGTTGAGATTGTGGTGATTATCTTAGTAATACTTTTATAATAAAGATACTTGCATCTCCTATGGAGAAGTGGTTTAATAACATTTCTTAAGACTATATATTTCACATACAAAAAAGAGAATTGGGTTGGCTGTATTTTTGTTTTAATAGTAAAAAAAAAAAATGACAGACCTGGATTCAGGTCCAGCCTCTTGAGACGTATTGGCAGCATTGTAAACTGAGTACTTTAAGTACTTCAAGTAGCTTTTGAAGTTTATAGGTTGCATAAGGGTTATGAAACTAAATTGGAAAAAGAAAAAACAATTTATAAAGAATTCTTCTCTACACTAATGCACGTCTAAACAAAAAAAAGCAAAAAAAAAAGCAGACGTGCAGTTCTTAAGATTATTGTTACAACTACTTGGTATGTTGTTAAGTACCTATTAAGTCTTATTTATGTAAAGTAAATCCCCAGTACGTATTTGTCAAGTGGAAAAACTTATGTTGTTTAACTAAGAAGTTATCTAGAACCACATATTCTCCAAAATCATATGACTAAATTAGAAAAATTCATTATAAAGTACTGTTACGTTCTTTTAAAAATAAATACAATAAACTTCAAAGAGGATATCCATGTTCTTTTACTGTGCTGTAATTTTGTTGTCTTTGAACAATTCCTGAAATAAATAGACCGTGTATTCATTTTTGTAAGTCATTATTGTAGTCATTAGAATAAGAAATCAACTATAATATTAGGACAAATAGTCACAACTTTAAGGCAAAAAATAAAGGCTGCTTCATTTCTTGTTCCTACACCACACACACACACACACACACACACACACACTCTTTGCTACCAATGGGAATATTTTCCAGTGTTCTTTTATTTATCCCCAAATAGTCAAACAAAAATGATAACAAAGATCCTCTTAGCACATACCATAGATGTTTAATCTTTAGATCTATTTCTTAAAAGTAAAGAATGATTTTCACTGAAAAATAATTTAATAGGAACTTTTGATGGACTAGAAAAAGATTAAGCCCTTTGGGATTCTTGTGGCTCTTGTAGATGAATCTAGCTTATGCCGTAATATGAAATTACAGGGAATATGACAGTACTGAGGTTCCACAGTGCAGAAGAATGAGAAACATAGAAAAGAAACCCTGTATAGCCTCTATTTTTAATGAAATCAGAATGGTGATGTGTCTGTAAAAGCATCTACAAGTTCAGTAACCTCAGAAACCTATTTTACTGCATTTTTATTAGAGTTCTCTAATAGAAAGTCTGTTTGCAGGTGAATTGTCCTTTAGCCACTTTAGGGAAAATCCTGCAAAATGATCTGTGGACACAATATTGACATTAAATAATTTTAGATACTTTACTGTTTCCTTTTTCAGGTTGCCACAGCAAATCTTGCCTGGGCCTCAGTAGCAATACATCAAGTGCAAGTGAGTCTGGGTAATGTTTTCATAAAACAAGTGTGCCCAACGTGCACACTGGAGAATGAATCATAGGCAAAACCACCAAGTATAGTAGTATATGTTGTATGCTGCAGAAGAATAAAGAGCACCATACTTAGCAGTCCTACCTTAAGAAACTTTTGGCAAAGCTAAGTCAACCGTGTCATTGAAATAGAGCAATTCATGGAGCTATTTACTCTAGGATTCCTAGAGTTCCCCTGCCCCGTTACTGTTTTTGGTGTTCTCTGAAACATGGTATTTTTATAGTCAGCAGCCCTGTGTTCAAAACCAACTCTGCTACTTGCTATCTGTGTGACCTTGAGCAAGTCAAAGGCTCTCTTTGGGCCTTTGTTCCTCTTTTGTAAAATTAGGAGATTGAACTAAGGGATTTCTGAGATCCCTTTCAGCTCCGTGTCTGACCTCTTATTCAGAAAGGGACAGGATCAATTAATTAAGCACTGGGAAATAGTCTTCTAAAAAGGAAACTGCTGACAGTTTGTTAGATGTTTGGGTTAGTTCATTAAGCTTTTCAAAAGATCTAACAAATGTTGTAATTGTTGTAGTAGTAGTAGTAGTAGTAGTAGCAGCAGTAGTACAAATCAAACTAGTGTGGTACAAAGAGCCACCCTTGAAGCTCTTCATCCAAGAAAACCCTATTTCAAATTTTACCTCTGAGGCATACTGCTTTTGTTACCCTGATCAAAACACCTAGTATCTCAGTTCTCTAGGCAGTCCTTTGTAAGTTGCAAAGAAGGTACTAACCTGCATATGTAAGGAAGTTTCCTCACTTGGAAGTTCCTTATACTAGTAAAATCACAGATTCAGCCCCTATTTTTATCTCTTAAATTGTCTACTATACTTAGAGGCCAATTTACTTGAATGTATGATATGATTGAAAAGTTCACAGCAGTGTATAAGTCTTTACTCTGAAAACAGGGTGATTTTTGGCTATTTTTAAGATAATGAACAGATTTAAAGGTGATAGAAGAAATGTCCCTTGCAGAGTTAGTCCTTAAGCCATCTCCCCTAGTGAAAGATATTTGATGGTTGGCTGAAAATTTTTACTAGGATAATGAAGGAACCTATCATCTGTTATGAGCAAGTATTCAGGAGAAGGAGGAACCTTCTAGAGAGCGTATTTTTTTCCACTCTTTTTTTAGAAGTCCTCTTATAGATTCTCCCAAACAATACCATTTTGTACTGTAGCATTATTATATTATAACCATATTCCACTCTGTAACATTTAATTAAAAGCATCGTTCGTCTAATACTAAGCATTCTCTGTGGTGTCCATTTTCATGCAACCAATTCACGTGATAGATGGAGGTATGCCCATATATTACAAGATATTTGCCAGCTTTGTGACATAAGCAACATAATATCACAGTCACAAACCAAGTTTTTATATTAAGCCTGTTAAAATTAATGAGACAAATGACATCTCTACCATTTTATTTTTTAATAAAAAGTAATATCTTCTACTACAATTAATAGTCTCCATGCTTTAATTTATGTCAGGTATGCAGAGGCCTTGCCAAACAGACTGAATTGAATGACTTCCTACTTGACGTATCAAAGTAAGTTTCTAGGAATATGAACTCTTTTTGAGCAAAGATTTTTGAAATGAGTACATATTTAACAGAAAATCATAAGTAGTTGTAACTATTGCAGATTTTTAATGTAACCACTGATTGGAGGTCAGTCTGTATCTAGATGTAGAATGATAAGAGCTTTGGTTGCCTGTTCTTCAGTTACATCATAGATAGAAATCACTTCAGATATATAGAGGGTAATGATATAGATGTGTGTATGACAAAAATAAATTTGTAGGGGCAGCTAGGTGGTGCAGTAGATAGAACACCGACCCTGAAGTCAGGAGGACTTGAGTTCAAAACGGCCTCAGACCAGACACTTGAAACTTACTAGCTGTGTGACCCTGGGCAAGTCACTTAACCCCAATTGCCTAAAAAAAAAAATTTGTAGTTAGATACACAAGATATGTAACTTTTATTTATCAAATATATCCACTGATGTTGACTACAAACTTTCCAAGTATTTTAACCTTTGAGAGAAAACTAAGAATGAATTGAGAATGTGGGTGGAGGACAACTATTGCTCAATGGTTTATTTTCCAACAATGTCAGTACATTTATTTTCTTTTTATTTATGTTAATATTTCATATGTTGAAATGCCTTTTTCCTTAGAAGGGGATACATGTCCCTAGACTATCTGTGGGCTCTCTGTGTCATGGACTTCTTTGGCAATATGGAGAAGTCTATGGGCCACTTCTCAGAATGATGTATTCAGATAATTAAAGGAAATAATAAATTTCAGTTAGAATTTAATGAAAATAAAGACGTATTTTTCCTACCCAAATTAATAGACCCAGCGGACCCTAGATTAAGAACCCTGCCCTAGAAACTTCTCTTGGCAACTACCAAGGCTAGTAGAAGTTAAGAGTGTACCAAAACATTGATCCTTATGAATGAATGAATGAATGAAATGCATTTAAGTGCTTACTATGTGCAAAATGCTATGGATACAAAGGAAATTAAGACATTCCTTGTTCTCAAGGAGCTTGTATTCTGTTTTATTTTTATAGTATTTTAATTTTTCCTAATTACATGTAAAGACAATTTTTAAAATTCGGTTTTTAAAAATTTGGAGTTCCAGTTTTCTCTTTGTCCCTTCTCATTTCCCCCCTCCCAAGACAGTAAGCAATTTTGATATAGGTTATATATGTGCAATCATATGAGACATATTTCCATATTGGTCATGCTGTGAAAGAAGAAACAGAGCAAAATTTAAAAAAAAACACCAAAAAAAGTGAGAAATAGTATGTTTTGATCTGCATTCAGACTCATCAGTTCTTTCTTTAGAGGTGAATAGCATTTTTCATCATGAGTCCTTTGTAATTGTCTTGGATCATTTATTGCTCAGAATAGCTGAGTCATTCATAGTTGATCATCATACAATAGTGTTGTTACTGTATGAAATGTTTTCTGGTTCTCCTGACTTTACTTTGTATCAGTTCATGTAAATTTTCCCAAGTTTTTCTGAAATCTACCTGCTTATCATTTCTTATAAACAATAATATTCCATTACATTCATATACTTGTATGTATTCAGAGATCATGCGGCTGAATCATATTAAGACAAATAATAAAATCTATGTATCTTTTTTCAAAGAAATGCTAAGCCATACTTTGCCATTATGTTAGAAAAGTCTATTTTCCAAACTGCAGTATGAGGCTTATTGCCATTAAGTTTCAGTTTGTTAGACTTAGCCCAGCAGTCCAACATGTTGAGGTCTTTTGGGATGTTGACTTTGTCACCCAGCATGTTAGCTGTTCCTTCAGACTTTATGTCACCTGCAGATTTGATAAGTGTATCATCTGTACCTTCATCTAAGATACTGATAAAACTGTTAAATAGTTCAAAGCCAAGAATATATCCCTGTGGCACTATACTGAAGACATTATGTTTATCTCAACCAAGTAGTGATGATCCATCCATATCTGTCCAGTTCTATAAGGGTAACATGAGACTCTTGTCATCTTCTTTGTAAAAATTTAGATTATCAATAACATCCCCCTACTGATTGAGTAACTTTATCTAAAACTGAAATGAGATCAGTTTGGCATGACATTATTGATAGAACTGTGCTGGCCTTTTGTGATGAGTGCTTTCTTTTATTAGATGTTAACTAACCATTCCTTCAGGAATTAGTGTCAAACTCAGTGTTATATTATTTATATATTTCACCGTCTTCCTTTTTGTGAGATCAGGATATCTACCATTATCAAGCCTTTCTTATTTGGAGTTATATTTCAAAGGTCACTAAGAATGGATTGACAGTAATATCTTCCAGTTCTTTCAGTGTACTGGGATATAATTTATCTGGTCTTGGTGACTTGATTTTTTTCAAAGGTAGCTAGGTGAACTGTCTTCTTCAGTTTTAAAGATCTTCAGTTTTAACTCCCTCTTAGTCATTAGTTAATACTTTGGAAGAAAAATGTTTTCATTGGGAAAACAGAAACAAGATGAGCAGTGCATTGACTAGCCTTATCTATCCTTGGATCTTTCTCTTTTTCCCATTTTTATTCTATCCCAGTCACACGCAGGGCTGGTCATTCCATTGATCTCATTGCTGATGGATGTTCCACTTTCATAGTAGAGAACTTTCAGATTCTCTTCTCTGACCATAATCTCCTTTGCTTCTCTCTCTTTCTGTACTTCTTTATCTCTTACACATATGTAACTAGCTCACCATTACCTCTGGTCATTCTACCCTTCCTATTCTTCGAGGCCATCATCACCACTCTGGGCTCATTTTTCCTCTTATGTGTCTTGACCCTATAGATAATTAGTTCATGGATGCTCTCTGTAGCTATTTAATCCCTTGTCTCATCATTGCTTACTCTTTGTATATTCCCATGGCGAGCTATCCACACCATCCAACTTCTCTGCTTTCAATCGTATAGTACTCAATGGTACTGAAAAAAGTTATAAAAGTGGCCACTCATTGCTAATTGACACTATCGAATTCTCCATAGCAGCTGGTCCAAGCTTCTTGTTTTCTTTTCTACTTCCTACATTATTCTCAATACAGGACTTTGTTTTATTCTTCACTGAAAAAATGTAGACCATCCGTAACTCTTCAGTGTCATTCCCTGCTCTCTTCCATTGCTCCAGCCTCTGATGGCAATGATCGCCTTGCCAGGGCCAATCCCTTTACTTGTGCTCTTCATCCCTTTTCCCATTTCCTCTAGTAGCTCAGTTGCTCAATTAATTTTTGTCAGTCTTTCTTTGTTTGTAAACTACTTTTCTGCTAACTACAGACATGCCCAGCTCTCCCCCTAGTTTTTGAAGAAAGCTTTACTTGATACTCCTGTACTATCAAACTATATTACCCTATATTTATCCTCATTTTCACTGTCATGCTCTTAGACAAAGCTGTCAAAGCTGTTTGTATTCATTCATATATTCTCTTTTCCATTTCTCAACCCGTTCCAATCTGGTGTTTGGCCTTACCATTCAACTGAAATTGCTTCCTCCAGTGATCTCTAAATTGCTAAATCTGGTAACCTTTTTCCAGTTTTTATCCTTTTCAGTCTCTTTCCTGGGTACTTTTTCTCCCTGTGTTTTTATGACACTGCCCTCTCAATATCATCACTTATATTTTTCCCTTAATGGTGATCTTACCAGCTTCACTTATTATCATTGCACAGATGATAACCCAATCTAGATATTTAGCCCTATGGACTTTGTTGATCTCTGATCTCATATTACCAGCTACTCGTTGGACTTCCCCACCTGGAGATCCTCCAGGCATCTTAAACTCAATGTAGCCAAAGTAGAATTCATTATCCTGACCCACCTGTCCTCCAAATTCATGTAATTCTGTTAAGAGTACCATCATCCTTAGAGTTGGTTTATCTAAATATCATGCTTTTTTTTTTAATATAAATTAATTTATTTTTATTGTTTGTTGTTTTTTGTTTTGTTTTGTTTTAGGCAATTGAGGTTAAGTGACTGGCCCAGGGTCACACAGCTAGTAAGTGTCAAGTGTTTGGTGTGAGGCCAGATTTCAACCCAGGTCCTCCTGACTTCAGAGCTAGCACTCTATCCACTGTGCCACCTAGCTGCCTCAAATTTATTTATTTTTAGTCTTCAATATTTACTTCCACAAGATTTTGAGTTCCAAATTTTCACCCCATCTCACCCCACTGCCCACCCCAAGATGGCATGCATTCTGAATATCCCTTCCCCTAGTCTGTCCTCTCTTCTATCTCTCCCCCTCTCTTTATCCCCTTCCCCTTCTATTTTCCTGTAGGGCAGGATAGACTTCTTTACCCCATTTCCTGTATTTCTTATTTCCCACTTGCATGTGAAAACCTTTTTTTTAAACATATGTTTTTAAAACTTTAGGTTCAAATTTTCTACCTTCCTCCCTCCCCACCCACCCTCATTGAAAAGGCAAGCAACTCAATATAGGTTATACATGTGCAGTTATGCAAAACACTTCCATAGTAGACATGTTGTGAAAAACTAACTCTATTTCCTTTAATCCTATCCTGCCCTCCCATTTATTCTTTTCATTCTTTTGACCCTGTCCCTCCACAGAAGTATTTACTTCTGATTGCCCCCTTTCCCAATCTGCCCTCCTCTTTATTGTCCCCCTGCTCTCTTGTCCCCTTCTCCCCCTATTTTCCTGTAGGGTAAGACAGATTTCCATACCCGATTGAATGTGTATGTTATTCCCTCCTTAAGCCAAATCATATAAGAATAAGATTCACTCATTCCCTCTCACCTTCCCCAGTTTCCCCTCCACTGTAAGAGACTTTTCTGGGTTTTTTTGTGTGAGATAATTTACCCCATTCTACCTCTTCCTTTCTTCTTCTCTGAGTGTAATCCTCTCTCATCCCTTAATTTTATTCTCCAGATATGACCCCTTCATGTTCAACTCGCCCTGTGCCCTCTATCTATCTGTCTGTCTGTCTGCCTATCTATCTATCTATCTATCTATCTATCTATCTATCTATCTTTCTATCTATCTATCTACATACATACATA